CCTTTAACCGAGAGAAGGTAGCTTATTTTGAGCAGATATATTAAATAAGAAAATGGTATTTCAATCGAGTTTTAGATGACCATGGCAACCGCTCGGACGCTGAAATTAGCGATCGGCTAGCCGAAAATTACATATAATTTATGTAAAAAATGAAAAAGGTATGACCGGGGCTTTCGGACGGGTACAGTTAGCCGGTAATTTACGTTTGCGACCTCTGGTTGTCACACAATCCCAGTCAAGTTCGATTTTCTCGCCGAAATGGCCATTGCCTAAGCTTCCCCGCCCCGCCCCCCCCTCCCAATCAATGCAGAAGAAACCTCACCGACATAAGCGACATAGTGCTGCAGAACAAGGAGAACGTGGCGAGCCTACGAGAAGATTAAAGACCCTCTAAATTAAGGGATAAAGGAGGGGGCGGGGGTGTAGCTGAGGTGCGAACACTCTGGAAATGCTGCGTTAGGGGTGCATGCATGCACTGATTGGATTTACCTCATTGTATGTGTTCATATGAAGACAGTTTGTTTGTTATTAGGTATCTGGTCGAGAATAGAGCGCGAAGTTGTGCTATAATGGCCGGAGGAGATGCTACTCCGCTCAGTGAACCACACGTCGAGTGCTTTTGCCAGCCCCTCGCGCGTAATTGTGTAAGCTGAGACGTCATTCGCTAAAGTCAATGATGCCCAGCTATTCTACCGTTCTAGGTAGAATCTGTTTTTCAGCGTTTGCAGAAGGGTAGGCCTCAATATGCTTCACGTACCTCGCGGATCACGTACGCCTGCGAATATGTTCAGGCTGGGGAATATGGGACTCCGTATATGGGACTCCGTATAAAGACTCCTGCAGGTATTGTACAGTACTGGCAAGATGAAACCCAACACCAAACATTGCCCCTTCACAACTTCTCACCCAATTACCCAATTTATATGAGCTTTTTTTTGTTGGAAAGATAACGATTTCTTCTTTTAAGTAGTCATAATCATCCTTGAATATCTGCTCAAATGCACATGCTACACTTAATCGAAAAGTGCGTGTCTTTCGTTCCGCCCAAAAAATCGAGGCTATGTTCTTGACATATGGCATCAGATGTTTTATTCCTTACAAACTTTAGTATTACAATCAGCAATGCCCTTTTTACTCATTTGCATTCCAAGCTGCATTCTGGCGTAAAGCTTGTCACTTTAGGCTTCTTTGTTTATTAAATATCGCAAGAAATGTTCTGTGCATGCATGATCAGCATCAATTTCCCGCAGACGTTTGAGCGTCCACCATTTTAATAAAAGACAAGAAAGTCAAACAATGTGTGTTTGTCTGTGATCTCTGTGCTACCCTGTTTCCATTGCGGGTCTGCCGGCATTAATCCGATATTTACATTTGTATTTATGGCCAAAACAAAAAAATGGTGTTGTTTCATCTTGCCAGTACAAAAGCCAATTTTGTGCAAGAGTCGTTCGTACAGCGAACCTCAGCACATTTTATACCCCGAAATGAACGATTTCAAGAAATATTTATAGAGATGTGCGTTTTTTTGCTTAGCGAGGGTAGTACATGTACTCATCTTGTGAAGTGTTGGCAGTTTTCGCCAAATACGTTCTTCCAGCGTAAGCGATCGTGCAGAACGAAATACTGAGTCCCTATCAGCCAAATCAGAAGATCGAGAAATCACGATTTTTGATCATCTATTACACCATATTAAATGATAGAGCATCATGAATGGGAGTTGAGTCTAAATTCTCGATCTTGCTCTGAAAATGTCAGTTTGTTTACAGATTGGCTGGCGATATGGAAACCCAGCCACCCATCGTCGGCGGATGCCAGTTAAATCTGTCAATTGAAAGAGGCCTAACACACTAGAATTTGCACACATACCGTGTCTTGTGTTTTTCACCCAGTAAAAATATCAAGTACATTCATTCATATTTTCTTAATTTGATCGGATTTTAGCAAGTAATCGAGCAGTATCGAATCAAAAAAAATTCTAGGATGTGTTATCTGATACCTTGTACATCTTTATTACGAACTACTAGAGCATCTTCACCGGTAAGTGACTACAGATAAACGTAAATTTATTCCGGACCAAAAAACATAAGATGGTTTTGCTCATTTCACACACGCACAGTCAGAAAGTACGACGTGTTGCGCAAGTTTGATCAGAAGTCCCGTCCCTTCGGCTGTGCGGGGGGGTACGAGCAAAAGCCTTCTCTGCACGATATTATTTTGGGTCAGGAAAGTACTTACCTTTAGCTTTATTCACTTACCGGTGGAGATGCTCTAAAGAAACTACAGTGTCAAAGTTCGCTAAGGGAAATGGTCAATTTAGTAGCCGCTTTAGGCAGCTTGCACTTTGGTCGATATCTTTAAGAGGAATTGTCCGTTACTTGCGCAATTGAAAAGAGCATACACACAGCTATTTTTGTGACGTTTTACTGATTAATGCTGTAATTTTGCTGCGTTTGTGGGGCTTGCAAGTTGGGCGCTTCGTTTGACGGACTTGTCAGTTTAGTGGCTACATCTAGCTTAATTTCGTTATTCTGTTTGATTCGTCTGATCGATCCCAGAAGGCTAAGGGTTAGGGAAAGTAAATGCTATCTCAAGTCGTATCTATGCCAGTTTAGTATTATAAGCAGTTTATAAACTGCTACAGCCTAAACCCATGCATATACCATCAGCCAGCCTTCCTCCATCGACAAGCCGTAGCAAGCTGAGCCACTGCTGCGCCTTCACATGAAGGTCGTGGCGGTTTACAGGGTGCCCGACCTGCTGCCTCCCAAGCACCCAGTCTTGGAGGCTTTCTTTTGCATCTTCTGGTAGCATGGGATACGGATCGCGGCGGTTGGGCTTCCGGGCAACCCTTTTCGAGCTAGAGCGACGTACTTCTTAAGCGTGTTATGGGGAATCTTGGCTTTGTCGCTCGCTGTCTTCGCAAGAGACCCGAAAGCACCTCTTGAACGGCAGCGTCAAGCTCTGCGTCAGAATAAGGTGCGCGAAGCCTTTCCATTTAGCCGGGGCTTGGAAATGGGCGGGAAATGTCCAGATATTAAGTGCTTCAGGTTTTTGCTTAGACGGAGCAATTGTAGTTTTGACAAATCAAATCAGTAACAGTATAGATACATTGATAGTACTGGCTGAAAATAAGTCGGCTACTAAACTGGCAAAAGCTACTAAATTAACCATTCCCTTAGAAAAAGGGCTCGCCCGGATATCAACCTGATCTCTTCCAAATAACCAAGCTGTCAACCTATTGATATTATCCGTTAGCCAGCAAAGCGGCAACAACGATTCATTTAATAACTTTGAACAACCTGACACGGAAACCAAGGTTAATCTGCTAAGGGAGATCAAGTGGGCTAGAGACGTATGCACCGGGTATATGACAGAGCAATTTTCTACAGTATTAGGCAAATGAGGTGGGTAACACACTAGAGATGTTTGGCATAGTGGTTAACACTATGACACATCACCACTACTCAAACTACTTTGAGCCTATTTGTGTGCTTGATAATTCACGTAATCCCATTTTTTCCGTTGATTTACGACAAATCAACGAGCAAACGGTAAACACGTTGAAGACAACAAAGTAGATCGTTGATGCTAGTCATTCCAGTTAGATACTTAATATATACGAGAATCTAGTTGTGAGTGGTTATGGCTATGAGGGAGAAAGTAAGATGCTGGAAAGGCTCAGTAAAGCTACCCAAGAAATGATTATTCCTCCTTGCTCATCAGTATGAGCCACAGTAGTCACTGAGTACCGAAACAGGTTTTTGGCCGAGGCTTTCCCCGATGCAACACAAATTGCTACACTCACTTTTGAATCTCCAAGCTAATCAGAAGACCTCCTGCTTTCCTGCGAAACATCACCACTCAAAGCTCTGGAGCCCAACTCTGGTGCTGACGAGACTTGAGATTCTCGTAGGATGTCCAACACATGGTGGACAAGAGTATTAATTTGGACGTGGCCGGTTTGTGCAAGGACACTTTGGAAGAGAAGGGAAGGCAGTTTTAGTGAGTTTCGTAACTATACCGGCGAAACCGGCTGATCAACAAGCACAACAAGGAGCTGGCAACTTTCGAACAGGGGCTGGTGAAGGAGCTGGTAGGGAGCGAATACAAGACGGGTGATTGGTACGAAATCACTGAAGTACCGAGCCAGGAGCATTTGACCTGCACCACTCGCAAATCGACGGCTACCTGTCACATCATGGATACTGGGATGCTGTCGCTGCCGACGGGCCGAATGATCCGAATGATCCGCAGAGCACTGCGAACGAAACCAACTCACACGTTATGCGTTGCACTTTGGCATGTTGCCGAGGGACTCTAAGAAGGTACGTGAGATGTGGGTCTTATTTGAGCAAGATAAGACAAAACGTGCTTGTGCAAGTGAGATTTGGCTGCGTCGTGACCTCTACGCAGAAACGTTCACACCCGGTGATAATATGGAGGAATCCTTAGATAAGATCGTGGACAAGAGACGTCAGATTGAGAATATGAACGCAGCCATCATAGAAGAAGATATGGTCAATGTCGTATTACAAGGAGTTATTGATTCACACCGCAATGTCATACGACTGTTTAGCCATAACAACAATGGTGGAGAAGCCTCGGACCTGTCGACTGTAACAAACGTTCTGCTTGGCGAGGCCAAGACGAACAAAACGTGTGCCGCGGGATCCTGTACAGAAGTAGGGGGCGGATTTTTTATGATCTTTTTTTGGCTAATTTCAATGTCATGTCATTTCGGCTTCTGTTTATGACATGCTGGTTTTTCTTATAAGTCAGAGGATTAATTGTATGCTGAGGGGCTTAATTGTATGGAGCTAGGAGCGCGAGTGTTTCTATGCAAGGTTTTTCTGTATTTTGTGTGTGAATATTAAGTTTTTCTGTTTGATGTTTCTAGTCTAAAAATGCAATATACATCCACCTACTGGCATGCAACGGAGTACGCTTCTAGTTGGGTACAATGTTGTGTCCCATCTGGTATGAGTAGTTAATCGCTCTTGTCAGTTCTTCAACCCCAAGGTGCTGGCTTCCTCTCCTTCCTTGAATTCGATGTTCCAGTATCGTTTACCGCCTTTCATGAAAGGTGGCTTAGCTTTCCCAACGTGGTTGAGCTATGTTCCTTCGCCTTCGTCGATAGATATATGATCGGCCATCATAATGCTCCCGTAGATGCCACTAGCGGGCTTATTCACCGACTTCTTGATCAGCGAGAACACAGCACACTGCGACTTTCGAGGCCTGTCACGATCCAGGCATCTTGTCTTTTTCCAAGGTCGTCCAGGTGGCTTTAGATCCGGTAGGTTTCGTAGCATAATATGTAGGTATAGGAGGTCTACGAGATGTAGACATGTCAAAACGTGAGCGCAGGGTCCGCAAGTTTGGTAAAACCGCTTACATTCCCACTTGAACTTACGGCGAATCATTTTGATCTCGTCGTTGCCCCAGAAAGGGTTGTCCCAATCGTGCTCGAGCGGAATTCGCTCTACAATTTAACGCCGTGAATCGCCAATTAGCGCAGCTATATGTTCTTCGCCTTCTCGTTTTGTTAGAGCTTACCTCTGAGCAAGGCTTTGCGCGTTTTGGTTCGATTGCCGTTAAGCCTAAAGCCGTGGTCGTTGTCATCGCGTACGATGTAGTGCTTGGCGTTGAAAAAATATTATTGGATGCTGTTGACCGACCGTCTGAGCTATCGTCTGTGAGTAGCGTAGTGATTGTCTTTGTCGCATAGAGCCACAGCCATGTGCAAATCTTGTGCGCTCACTAGGCCAGACGCATAATGCCTGATAGGCTCAGAGTCTGATGTCCATATCACTTTCGACTAAGCTTTTAGGCAAAGTTCCAGCCAGAACGTGCCCTGTCGCTGCTCGAAGATGACTTACTACCGTGGCCTTGATTGTTCAATTATGGGATTTAATCGAATTTTGGTTTGGCAGCATTCCAGCAGTGTCACTTGCAGTATTGAACTACAAATCCGAGGGGTCTGTCAGGTTTTCATCTCTAAGCAGCTGTACGTACTGAGCTTTACCCAGCGTCTCCCAGCTCTTGACCACTAGCTCGGATAAACCATCGAACTGGCCAAGCCAGCGCGCTTTGCAAAATTATTTCTAGTTGCAGCTGAATGATTTCTTGGTAACGATTATTTGAAGACAAAAAAAGATTTTGCCTCTTGCATTGCGGTACCAATGTGGTCAGCATTTCAGACGTTTAATGTCAGACCAGACTTGGCGAAAAGCACTTGCGATAGCGGCAGAGTGATCCATTGATCCGTAGTTAAGCTCCAAAGTTTCACTAGAAACCAAATCACATTTGTCCCTGCAGACAGTAAAAAGGCGAGTCTACGCAAAGGCTGTTTCCGTCCGAGTGAACATGAAAGCCATTGGGTAGAACTTCTGCTGATACGTGTTCAGTGCCGCGTAGCGTACCGCAACGGTACCGAACAAAACAAGTGTCCATCCGCCAACATGGATCTTAAAAGTATTATCCGTCACACCAAGCTCTTCCGGGAATCTGTCGATCAAACGTTGGCCTAGTCCTTGCCTAGGAGCAGTCCTAAACAATCGCCTCGACGTGAAAATAATCCCGACAGAAACCTCTCCATTCTTAAGAGGATCTGTATGGCAATACCGTACAAGTAGCTCGTGCTGAAAGTTGAATAACATTCTGACATAACCACAATGCATCCGAGCCCAAATCATACTCGAGGTGCTACCGAAATTGCTCAAGCGTTGTGCACATTCTCAGAGAGGCCCACTCCATCTTGCCGGCGTATTTTGTGATTGAAAACCCTTCATGTCCTTTTAGTCTCTGTGACCGATTCTTCCGTTGCTTGATACTAGGGAACATCGCAAGCCAATCTGGCGATTTTCCTATATCGAACTTGAAGTGTTGTTAGACATTGCTTTGGACCTTGGTCGGAGTCGATGTTCCTTCCGTCTCTTAATCGAATTAGGACTCAGATTCCGAGGCAAAAAGATGACGAACGCTGCCCATCTGATAGCCGGGACGTCGCGACGACGAGCAGGCGCTCTGCGGCTTTTAGCTCGGCCTTAATCCGGTCAATGACGAGTGCGGCATGGCCTAACGATACCCGGAGACTCTTGAACGGGCGCATCGAAGACAAATTAAAGAGTGGGTTATGCAGGAAGGCTTAGAAAACCCCGTACAATAGGCTTGCTTTTTCTAGATTTAATTTTTTAATTTGTATCGCCTGGAATAGGGCTACTCTAATACTAAAAAAACGTCAGATCATAGTATACAGTGCACTACAAAGAGCGCCATCTTCTCTATTACAGAAATATCGTCTGGTTAATGTCGTCAATAAAATGCACAGAGCAATACCTGCTCTTTCTCTGAAAATAACGTTAGCTTATTAAAGTCAACAATACGAAACCACATATTACGACCCAATTACTGCAAATATTACTGCAAATATTATCAGCTCCTAGTTGACAATACAACCCAAAAGAGCGCAAGTGATTCATTTAATAAAAAGCATCTGTCGATAATACAAAGAAGCCCTTGAATATAATTGATCCTTCTGAAAATAAAATAGCCTTTTTGCTCATAGAAAAAAAAGTTTTTTTTCAAAGAAGAAAATAAAGTTACGAAAGTGAAGACACAGCGCTTTGTACCACAAAACCCAGAGAAGAAGCTCAGAACGAAAGGGGGAAATGGTAAGAATGCAACATGAATAAAGGAGAGCCGGAAGTGCCTCTTCTGTAATAAGAAATGTCATCTACGGTTGAGTTGCTACGACAATTTAGTTATTACAAACTGGCCCATCTCAATAAAGCAGCAATGAAGAAACTGGTGAAGAGCGGTCTAGCAGAAGGAGTGGATCATTTTCGCTGAATGACTTCAAGAGGACCCCATTGATGTGCATGACTTGCGATGGGGCGAAAGCAAAGCGAATGATGTTCAAGCGCCAATATGGCAAACGTGCGATGGAATGTGGCGCACGCTTGATGTCTGACGTGTGTTATGTGAGAATTACAATGCCATGAGGTGCGAAATACTTTCAGCTAATCCAAGACGAGAAGACAAGATACAAGTGGGTATTCTTACTCAAGAAAAAGAGTAATGCTTCCGGTAATGTGATTGCGCTGATACGACAACTTGAGAAAGACTTCAAGGTGAAGCCATTCTCGTGTGACCGAGGGGGCGAGCTCATAAACAGCAAGCTGAGTTCTTTCTCGTTGATAATGGGATACAGCTGCTGGCAAGTAATGCCTATGCTCCTGAAGAGAGCTATCTCGTATAAAACGCAACGGCAAATTGATGAGTAAAGCTCGTGCGATCCGTGAAGCAGTCAATTGGACGACATATCTGTGAGGTGAGATCCTACATTATGTTGTGTACGTTGATAACATGGGCGTCACGAAGGCGCTTGGGAATTCAAGTCGTTTGAGAAGCTGAAAATCCGAAAGCTGAACCTAAAGGACGTGAAAGTGTGTGGATGTATGGCTTATCACCACTTGCCTAAAGAAAAACAGGAAATAAGCTGGAAATGCGAGCCAAACCAGCAGTAATTATTGGTATGGCTGAGCTACAGTTGGGTTATCGCTTGTTGTAATCACGATCGAGATGCAACATCGTGAAAAAAAGAAAATCCAAGTCAGAACAAAACAATCCAAATGTAGCCATCGCAATAATTAATTCAAGTTAACTAGCAGAGAAAGGCGACATCTGCTAGAATTATGCTGTATCTTCACCGTGATTTACGATAGCTGCGGGCTGTATAATCTGCTTGACCTGCAACAACTTCGCGAGCTGCTCTATAGCTTTACTCGCGAAGCTGGGTGAACGATCGAATGAAGTTTATGGAGAGGTCCAATATTGCAAGACCACTACGCGGTGGCAGCTACGGTTGAACGGCACATTTCCGAGTATGTGGCAGTCTTTACAATGAAGCACGACCGGTGGACGACTTGAAGTCACCGGACCACTGCTAGGCGTGATGGAGGACAGCGCTACGTGATCACTGCTGCTGGATATGCCCACGTCATATTCTCGTATACTTCGCAGAGGCATCACTTCTTGTGGTCGGCCCATGCGGCTGCCACAGCAATATTCATCATCATACTTCCTTCCGTATGGGGTACTTCCAGTCCTTGGTGCACGTCTTGCTCTTGGTCTCAACCTTGTTGCTCACCGCCGCCATATCGTACCTCGTAACTTCGTTTGTTCTTGTGGTTTTGCGCCCACGTGACATGCCGTCGTCGCCTCCATGACGGACCCCTCTTAGTCGTTGTACTGGTCAGTGTTGCCACCGCCGTTATTGTCCTGGGCATCGCATCGCATGCCGCCACTAGCTAATCGCTACCCGAAAGCTCCCCATCGTCACAAGTAGTGTTGGTTTGATTTTGTTCGATTTGAGATCTTAATTTAAATCGCAACTAAAACTGGGTTTTGTCGACGAAATGACAATGAAAATGGACAGTTTCACAGACGGCGAGATGTGTATTTAGTCCATCCAGTTCTGAAAATATTTTGAATTTCGCACGCGCGCTATTGACATGTCAACTTTAACTCTCGCACGTGGTGATGCTGAATGGAAGCGGAGGACGACGGTAAGTGCAGTGTCACGGCCAGTGATGATCTGGCCTACAGGAGGAGCTAATGTCCGCGCAGCTTGAAGAAAAAGGATGGCTGTAGGCCGCCGAAGGTCCAACGTCTGGACGGAGGCGAGCGAAAATGGCCAAGTCAAGTGTCTTCGAGGTTCAACAGAGATATCCAACCCCAAAGCGCACAAACTGGAGAACCACTTGATGCACTATAAGGATTACACATTGGTGAAGAAGAAGAAGAGCGAAAATTCGCTGTCATTGAGCGTAAGGAGGAGACCCGGAATATGAGTCGACAGAGAGGCGTCAAGCTAGGCGGAGAAGGTGTAGCTGGAGAACCATCCCAATCTGCCCATATTTTCCAAGCTCAGCTTGATTGCCTTGTTGTTGACTTTGTGTACGAGTCGGGGTCAGCTTTTCGCATCATAGAGCCGCCAAGTTTCCGTTGTTTGGTCACTAGGGGGATTTGGAAGCGCGGACGAAATCGATGCCGACTTCATTGAAGATGGATTGCTGATGTGGTAGACCGTTTGAATAAAGGTGTAGACTACATTCTCGACTACAGCCTAGACTACTTAGGAGCTCAACGTTAAGATCAGATTGATATTGGTCGTTACCTTAATATATCCGCGTTATCCTCCTTGACTAAGGCTTCGTTCAGTGCACAGCTAGCACACCGGCTCGTGAACGACGTTGGCGGAGGGTGTAGTTGTCGTGTCTATTTTGATTGCTTTATGCCAGATAAGCTGTATTTAAATCACGCTATTATCTAGACATCGCTCCCACGAGAAACCTGAATCATTACTGGTGTGCAGCGTAGCTGACACCTTGGGTGACCAATTTGACGTGTGTCGCACAAAGCTGTTGACAATTGAGCGGGGAGATGCTGGTCGCCATGCTCTTGACGCTGGTGGCGATCGGGGCGATCGTGTGGTGACTGATGTTGACAATCTTGACGTGGACGACTCACACGCGCTACATGTTTAGCTTGTCGTAATAGAGACTATGGAAATATTATCACTGGATGGGATTGCGAGTGGCCGCGTACGACCGCCGTACCAAGTACTTTCAAGCATTGACAGCAGTGGCACATAGTAGGCTACTTTCATCGTCGACGGCTCCCACCATTCGCGAGGCATCACCGGCTTCGCATCTTGTTTGGGTCGCTCATGGCGCCCAAGCCCAAGCTCCTGCGTAAACAGGTTGTGTGGAGGTGGACGGAGGCTCCAAACATTGCGTTCGAGCGCCATCACCTATTGGCGTAAGAATCGGCGTTGGCTTATTTTGACTTCCAGTTGCCGTTCCGACTCGTCACTGATGCCAGTAGGGTCAGGCTAGGAGCGTGTTTCTGCAGAATCAGGGTATCGTTCGGCAACGTATAGCTTACGCGAGTAAAGGGAACAGCCCCACTCCATCGCGCTACGGGATTACAAAACTGGAGTGGTTAGCAGTTGTGAGGTCGATTAGGCGGCCGGCTATTCTACCTAAGTAGGATTTCCTTCCGTCCGCGGCTAGGGTAGACCGATCTACTATTTTAACCGATAACCGGTACTAAAATGGCTCTTGGCTAGCTCTAATTCGTAGCGTACATAAGCACCGGGAGCAATGTACTGGCGGATGCATTATCGAGAGCCCCATTGAGAGTGTTAACGACAGCAGGGTAACTACGACCACGAAGACACATTGGCGTTATTAGGACTGGTGATGAGGTGGCGCGGCCTGAGCGAGGAGACGAAAAAGCAGCTCGGCCAAGGACGACAGGACTATGTATAGTACCAGCATGTATGGGGAGTCGTAGATGCGACAATTGATATGGCAACGACGAAAGGTGATACGCCAAGCCAGAGCTGGATGAAAAGAAATAGGTTGCAACAAGCGGCCGGTTGGGGAACCAACCGACACGACGGAACGGCAGGTCACCACAGCTAACTGCATCAAGAATCAAAAAGCGTATGGGATGCGGTGGCGAGAGTGGCACAGCTGCAACTTCGCCCAAGAACAACAACGAGGAACCAGTTGTGTAGCCCTTGATGCGAGCATCCAAGCGACGAGCGGAGGCGGCTCAGACAACATACGTGGAATCTGTGGTGTAGTAGAACACACAAATATCGTCAGATGTGGATTCCTTACACAAACCACAACGAATCGCCGAGTTAGGTCGGCGGTTTGTATGGCCTGCGCAGAGGGTGGTCCCCTCGCGGTCCGGCCCTTCCGGGACAGACGAGTGGCTCGCTTCCACCCGGTTCCGACTAACCAAGTCAGATCACTTCCGAGGCTCCGCCGAGTTTGGTTCGGCTGAGCTCGTTCACAACCCTGTGCCCTTTACCAAAGGATGGACGACGGCGCGCGAGCGCTTTTACAGGTCACCGAGCGCAGAGGCAGCTCAGCTAGAAGTGTTACGGCACCCGGGCTATCCGACGTACCGGCCCGCTGAGTATGCGGGACTTTCTTTCGCGCGCAGCGAGACTTTGTCCTACCCGGACCGACCTTATCTCTTGGCGCTACCAGTCAATACCCTACAAGCTATGCCTCTCGAGTATTGACGGCAGGCATAATCCAGCCCTATGCAGGGACTTACCGGAAAAGTGTACACGTGTCTTGGACTAGGAAAATTCTGCTCTGTTATCTTCTGGGAGCCCTTTCGGCTCCCCCTATTTAATCCTATGCTTCTCATACAAATATCGTATGAAATGTAGTCGTTTCGGATCTCTACCGACCCTTCAGCTGAGTTCCGGCGACCGTTGAGCTCAGCGGCTATCCGGATAGCATATCCGGACAGATCGCCAAGTACTTACCGTGATCCTTTGTTCCTAAGCTCTGGGTTATCAGACCGAGCCGATTCTTGATCGAAAGAAGGTTGGCGTATGGTCGAATCTGGAAATCCCTACACCACAACTGCCCTGGTTATGATACGAGCCGAGCTGGTGAGTATCTTAATCCTTCGTTTGGTTCTGCCACCATTGGTCCGTACTCGGCTGATGACGTCTTGCGGTTCTCCACCACCTTCTTCGGTACGTTCGTTGCTTCCACTGTCACTCACTTGCAGCTCCTTACTCCTCGCATGCTACTCCAGCACAACTCGCGGCGCCACCATTCTCCTCCAACTCCTCGTTGAGGTGAAGGCGCGCCAGCTGAGTCGATTCCTGCATACGCTCAGGGTGCTCCACCGCGGGCGAATCGTCAAGGTATTCCCATCTTCGCTGGGTCTTCAATCGGTGAGCTCGGCTCGGATGACAAGAGTGCGTCTGATGACGACTCGGCGGACGACGAGTTGGGTTCTCCCAATCTCCGAGGCGCGTCTCCGAGTATGTCTCTGTTCGGCACTACACCCCCCAGTGGAACGTATCCGCCTCAACCCACTTCAGCCGAGTCGGGTTCTGAGGCACCGGTTCTTCTTCCACCCGGTTCGGCGTCAGTCTTATTGGCTAGCTCGGCGGTGATACTTCTTGCCACGGCTGCGGATGTTGCATCTCCTTCCGCAGTTTTTTCAAGGGGCGACGTCTGCTACGACGCCACGCCTCCAGTCGTCGAGTCCGCTGAGCTCTTCCCAGTTGTCTCCGTCGGGTTCAACTCACTTGGAGTCCGGATCGCCAACTTTTTAATTTTCTTCTTTTGACTGGGCGTCCCGTAGGTATCGTTCAGGACTTCATTTCGTAATTATTCAGTATATGTAGTTTCGACACAGTAGTATTCCGTCTCAACTCGGCCTGTGTCGTCCGCTGAGTTGGTGTAACTTTTAGTGCAATAGCTGTTAATCCTCATCTGCAACTTGCACCATTTGCAGACGGTTTTCGCGCTTCTTCTGTCGTAGATAGTCAAACGGGAGACGCCCACATGACAAATTCGACAGTGGTTCCCAAGTAGGCTCATCGTAGCCGACCCACTTAACTTTAAACTTCCGTTGTGATCGTGACGTACTTGTGGATAATGGTAGCTCATCGTCGAGAATTGCTTCGACTTCATACTGGTTTGTACTTGTGTCTGGTTCCCAGCTGTCTTCAGGCAGTAATTCTTCATCAAAAACAAATCGCTGAGTCTCTTCGAGGTCGGCGATTAGCCTCGTCTTTGGTCTTCCGCCGAGTTTGGTGACTGCCTTCAGACGTGATACATGGACCACTGGGTAGAACCTATATCCACTCTTGTCGGGTAACTCCAATTCATAGGCGAATTCTTCCACCTTCTTCTTCACCCTGAATGGTCTATGCCATCGGTGGGCTAACTTCTTGGTCAGGCCCGACTTGACTCGCTCCATAAACAACCAGACTTGATCTCCTTCTTTGAACAAGGATTTCGTGGATTCATCGCCTGGTTCTGCAACTTCATCTTCGTCATCTGCTGTGTTGGGAATGGATCTTTTCTCCTTCTTGCTCAACGCTTCGTTGTGCTCTCGAGCTCGTCGTGCTTTCTCTCGCACTTGGAACTCAGCTGCTAATCGAAGTGCCACTTCTCGTTGTCTGTTCGCTTCTCGGCGCCACTCGACTGCGTCCGCCGAGTTGACTGGGCGTCCCTGTCCACGTCGTATTGAACTCGTCATAGCCTTGAGTGTAGACTTGGCGTCCCAACCATGCACCAGATAGAAAGGGTTTTTTTGCCGAGTCGAATCTCTTGAGTTGTTGATAGCGTGTACCATCTTCTCGGCGATGTCATCCCAGTCGGCTTGAAGTGGGTCTTCTACGTAGACCCGTATAGTCTGAACCATTGTCTTGGCTGACCTCTCTTGTTGACCGTTAGCTTGTGGTCGGTAACTCAGCGTAGCTCTTGATCTCGACTGCATCATCTCGGAGAACTTTTGGAACACTTCACTCATAAACCTTGGATCTCGGTCGTGCCGTATCAGAGACGGAGCCCCGAACTGCCTGAAGACGCATTCCTCAAATACCTTGGCCACTTCGAGTGCTCCGGTGTCATTCATAGCCTTAGCGATAACGAACCCCGTGAAGTGGTCCTGGAACAGCAGCAGTGCAGTATTGCCCCGCTGAGTTCGAGGAAGGGGAATCACGAAATCCATTGACACGACTTGGAATGGATGGTCTGACACCACATTTTCCGGCGAATAACCTCTCAACTGTGGCTTGCTCTTACTAGTATTGCAGTCCTCGCAGGCCCTAACATGTTTCACCACGTCGGCGTACAGACCAATCCAGTAGTAGTCGGTCTTGACTCGGTGATAAGTTCTGACGATGCCTTGATGCCCTCCTTCGATCGAGTTGTGGCAGTTATGAAGTATCTCGTCGACCATAGTTGACGGAATCACCAATCTCAATGAGAGGTTCGGTTCGCCGAGTTCGCCCAGTCGGCGGGCTTCATCTTGGCGGTATAACAGGCCGTCTTCGCTGAGTACAAATACTTCTGCGACTTTGCCGGCATTCTGAGCTCGACGGTGTGTAAGGTCCTCAAATTCACCTCTCAGGTACGCCTTCAGGTCGGCCCACCTGAGTTCTTCATCTTGTGCCTTCGCGATTCGTCGCCTTCGCTCAGTCTGTACTGTCACTGGATCGATGTCGTTGGCATTCTGAGCTGTCTGG